CCAGCAGCGGAGAGCCTAGCTGCTTCTCCAGGGAAGGTGCAGAGAGAGCCAAGATGGTTTCTCTTCCTCTATTGCGCAGTGATAATGAAACGACACAGCATCATCCTGAAAGTCTCTAGGGCAGACGCAGAGCCGGCCCCTGAGACCACATTCCCAGTGTGGTTGGCAGTGGGAGGCACAGGCAAGTCCAGCGCACAGGGAGGCAGCCATGCTAAATCTGGGAGGCATTTTGCAAGTACCTCTTTTCGGTGACTCATTTGGGGACTCACTAAAAACTCCTATGAGTTGAAAACAAAAGTGGCCCAGGCTGAGGTACTTGGCACCTCTCCCTTCTCCCCTTCCCTGCAGAGAGACGGGTGTTGAAGGGAGGGTGAGGGTCTCAGAGCTGAACGAAACTTGATTTTATGTCACAGCATGTCAGCAGGGTCTGCAAACCATCTGTATGGTCCACAGCCAAAGAGAAGGAAGTAGGGGCGAGAAGGAGGAAGGTCTGGAGCAGGGTGAGTGTACTTCTCCCACCTACCCCTTAGAACTGAAGATGCCTTATGTAAGCCCCACCCATCCTGTCTCTGCATTATTGGGTGTGTAGAGGTATGTGGGCTGGGCCCCTGATTCTCTTAACACTTAAAATAGGACCACTCGCCTACAGCCAGACCTCTAAGGTTCATCACTGGCTGTGAGACTTGGGACATGTTGCTTGACTTTTCTGAGCTTCAGTTTCCTAGCAGGAAAAAGAGGACATTGCATGTATTTGTGAGGTCTGATGCTGCTCCTTAGCTGCTCTGCAGTTTGCCCGGACAGTTTGTACAGCACAGAACCCAGTCAGAACACAGCAGGTCTCTAACCACACCCTCTCCCCTACAGGCTTCTGCTCCTCAGTAGAGACCTTCACTCTTCATTACCTCTTAGAAAGCACCCCTGGTCCTCCTGCTTCCGCCCTGCTTCACTTTATTTATCCTACTGTCTGCTTCCCAGAGAAACTCAGACTTCTTAGAGTGCGTGTTAAGCTTTCATTTTTTTTTTAAAACAATAGTTATTCGTGTGTACCCGAACATGCCACAATCCACGATGTATATGTGCACATCAGAGACAACTTGTTAGAGTCAGTTCCCTCCTCACAGAGGCAGAGACCAGCCTGGTTGCTCTGGGCTGGTGACCATATCTTTCTTACACCAGTGTCCTAGAACCAGGCTGCCTAGCAATAAGGTGCTGAAACCAAAAATCTGTCATCTGCTTCCAGTTCAATCACTCACCACCAGGAGGACTTTGCACACACGCCTCATTAAAGCCATCTAAGAAATGGGCACAAGGGTGGCATGATGGCTCCCTCACAGAGGCTGAACACCATGAGGCAGGCAGAGCAGTATGGGTTGTGGGCCTGATTACTGCGGACTCAAGCAGACTAGGTGACTGAACACACTCAGCAGGATGCTGTCCTGTGCCCAGACTAGTGCGGCACACTAATGGGCAGCTGCCAAGTGCTCTGGGGACAAAGACAGTCTAGAATAGTCAGAAGCAGCAATACCTGTTTCATCCAGGAGCACCCCCTCTTGAGGGGAAGTGGGAGGCTCTTTAATTGCTCCCCAGAGAAGCCTGGACATCCTAGTGGAGTTGTTAAGTATTCATGGATGAAGGTTTTTTGTTTTTTGTTTTGTTTTGTTAACGCACACCGCTCAGTGCATTTGGAGGACATGTGGAGGTTAGAGACAATTTGCTGGAGTTCTTTCCTTCCACCATGTGGGTCTGGAGGATCAAACTCAGGTCTCCCCGCAGCCCTCAGGGTATTTGGCTGGCCCTTAGTGGAGCTGCTTACTCCTTCTAGAACCTTCTGCTTGGCTGGCCTGGAGTTCCCAGGAAGGCAGTATCCCCAGGAGATACTGGCGCTTTGGGGTCAGGGACTTGGATTTATCCTAGGGGCTTGCTTCTTGAACTGTATTGAGCACTATTTGTACACTGTTTGTATTATTGTATACACTGAGCACTTTTTTCTTTTCCTTTTTTTCTTTTCTTTTTTTTTTTTTAAGACAACTTCTCATGTAGTCCAGACTGGCTTGGAATTTGCTATATAGCCAAGAATGAATGAATTTCAATCAGCCTTCCTAGTTCAGGGATTACAGGCGCCCAATTTCCCTAGTGCTGAGATTAGGGAGAACATTCTATCAACTTAACTTCACCTCCTGCTCCACTTTGTGGATGGGTCAATTTCAGCCCTACGAAGGCTGTGATAGGAGCAATGTCAGCTGATGGTGAATCCATGGGTGTGGGGAAGGGTCCATGAGTTGGCTACCCAGAGAATCTGCATCTTCAAGAGTCTAGAGCCCATGCAGAAGGGTTCAGTGGCCAGGATTTGAAGTCTGAGCTTCAGTCTTCCAACTTGGGCTGGACGATCGAGCACCCAAGCTGGGAGCGCGCCCCCGGCGCCCCCTAGCCT